CAGATTTCAATTTTGTTTTGTAATATTTCATAATTATTAATTTAAAAATCACTTAGCGAACTCGGCGCTGCAAAGGTTAGATTGTTTACAATTATGAGGAAAACGGGCGTTGCCACATCTTAAACACCAAATAYGTAGGATTCTTAACGACTTTTCTTTGTTTGTTTTTTTGCGTGATTCTTTTTTCTACATTAATTTTAACAAAAAATACTTTCTAACATTTTTTAAGTTATAATKGAGTTGTGAAAACTTTTTCCACATATTATACATTTTACATATAGTATGTATATGTATAATATGTGATTTATATTTAATAAACACACATAATTAAAACTCTATGATTATGAGTATTGTAAAATTTATATAATATCATGTAGGGGTGACTGAAGTACTTTCGCGTAGTACACCTTTCCGCGTTGGCGACCTTTGCCCGCGGTCTAAAAAAATAACCCTGGTCGAGCGAATATCCGGGGTGACTGAAGTACTTTCGCGCAGTACACTTTTCTGCGTTAAAAATAAAAAAATATATTGAGTTTTTGTTATAAAGTGGTTATATTTGTTGGTTACCATGCACTCATAGTGAAAGAAAATTTGAATTTTCGTACTGTACTAATATACTTTACACATTATTACGTAATATTAATATATAATATTACTTATACATATGTATATACAATATTATTACATAATATTACTAATAGATATATACAATAAGAAGAAGAAGATATATAATATTACTTATTTGCCTAATAAATTTAAAAAAGATAATATCCATATGCATGAATAGAGGCATTTTTGCGTAAAAGAGGAATTTCAGCGAATTGCCTTATCATCACATGGCAGCGCTCCATTTCGTCGTAATTTTTGGTAAACAAATGGGGWTAAAACGAGTGTAAAATGTAATTTTTAAAATGCAGATTTTTTAGGTAAAAAACCACAGATCCACATCGATCAACYTCTGAAAATTTCCTCAAGATTGGTTCAGCCGTTCTCGAGCCTGAGCGTTACTAACAAACAACAAACATTCATTTTTATATACAACAGCGGTTTTTGCTTGGTTAAAAATTAACATTTTCAATTTTTTGTTTTTACAATCCATCCTCATTGTATTCCTTTCGAAGTGGTTCATTTAATGCAACGGTGTAATAGTATAGCGAACAGACAAAAATTTTTATATATCAGATATACATATACTATATGGGCTATTCCATACAAAATTGAACACTTTTGAACCCGACCTCTTTAGATTTTGCTGATACTTATCCATCCTTTTCTACCCTTTGAAAAACATTTTTGTGAATTTTTTCAAAATGTTATGTCCAACGTCAAAAAAGTTATGAATTTTTTAAAAAAATGGATTTTTTATTTTCAAATAGCCTTAACTTTTGTAGATTTTGAATGAAATTTTTGAAAAAATACACGAAAAAAATTTAACACGATCAATTATATAAAATAATCGGTTTTTTTAAGTAAAATCGTCATTTTTTGGAAGTTCGTCTAATTTATTTATTTACTCTTTCACTAGACACTTCATCGCACAAAAGATTAACAGCAATTCACAGGTTATGTTTTAGATAGTATGAAAAAACCGTATTCATAAATCGATACACACTAGCGTATAGTTTTTAGTATACTGACTATAGGTAAGTCTATAATTATCCAACCCTAGTTATCGACCTTACTAATAGGTACAAATTTTAATCTTGGTGATTATATTCGTAAATTAAATCTATAAATTGAGAATATTATATCATAAAATCGTTAAATTATATTTTTTATATGATAGAAATAAAATTTACGGAAAGGATTTTTCTCATTTTTAAATAAATAAAAAAATATAAAAAAAATCGGCCCACTCCGGGATTAGCTGGGATGGTTGTCAAATTAAAATTACGATTTAAACCGATTATTTTATATAATTGATCGTGTTAAATTTTTTTCGTGTATTTTTTAGAAAAGTTCATTCAAAAGCTTAAATTTAAAAAAAAGGTCCCCAAAAGTCAATTTCTACAAAAGTTATGGCTATTTGAAAATAAAAAAGCCATTTGTTTGAAAAATTCTTAACTTTTTTGAAGTTGGACAAAATATTTCGAAAAAATCAAATAGTAAAAGCATGGCAAGTCAATATGGCAGCCAATTGGCGAAGCCGAAATGTAGTCAATTGAGCAACAAAAACTATTTCATTCATAAACGCAGGCGCATATTCCACAAGCAACCTCGCTTCATTCATAAAAACAGGCGCCGTAACATCTCCCCGAGCATGCCTTTGCCCACAAGCGTCTTTTCGCGACGATGGCAAAAGCTAAAAATCATAAATTGAACATCTATCTGGTGTTTGTTCTAAGAAAGAAGTGGAAAAAGTGGCAACATAAGCGTTGTGGATTTATAATATTTGTCAATTCGAAAATATTTTCCCGTGGCTCGCAAAAATCTTCATGATATGTATGTGGGTGATAAAGGGTTAAACGACAGCCGTCGCACACAGTAAATAAGAAGAAGCATCGACATCCACCATCCACCGACGCCTTGAAAGAAGAA